CAGCCCATCATCCCATGTGGGAGTCGAACCGGCAACCTTGTTATTCAGAGCGCATGCTCTAACCACTGAGCCATCCTGCCGCCTGTTGGCAGCTCAGCAGCAGCTCAGCTCAAGGTGCCATGTTCAATCTTAGTTGTGTGTGTGTGTGGGGGGGTGCAGCCCACCATCCCATATTGGTGTCGGACCAGTAACCTTGCTGCTAAGAGCACGCGCTCTCACCAGCTCAGCGGCAGCTCAGCTTGGGTGCAGCTCACTGGCCCATGTGGGAAATGAATCGGTGACCCCGTTGCTCAGAGCTCACGCTCTTAACCAACTGAGCCACTCGGCTGGCCCGGTTGTTTAATAATTTTTATGTTACACACATTGTTTAAGGATGAAGGTCATGATGACAATTTGGCTTCATTGACCCCCTTTCATCCTTCAGGGTTGTGTCTGATCATCTCCCAAAGCCCCCAAGTTCCAGAGAGATCTCCTTAAGTCTCCTGCTCTGCCATGCTGGAAGTCTCACAAAATAGCAGAAAGGGCATGCATTTGGGGGTCAGACAAATCTGGGCTCCCTCCTGGCTCTGTCATTTCCTAGCTGTGTGACCTTGGGCCAGTCACTTCACCTCTCTGAGACTCATTCACTTATCCATTCATTTAACAAATGCATATTTAGCAATGTCTACCATGTGCCAGGCTCTGTTGTAGACCCTGGTGGCTACTGCAGTAGATGAGAAACAAAACCTCTGCCTTCATGGGGCTTTCACTTTGGTGGAGGGAGAGGAGAGACATAATAGGCAAGCAAATAACTTCAGAAGTGATGTTAATGAAGAAAATGAAACAGGGTGATGTGATCATAACTGAGGCGGGGGGGGGGGGGCTAAGCTCTCTTTTAGATACGGTGGCCAGGGTGAAAGTGACGTTTCCTCTGAGACCTGAATGGTGACAAGGAGCTGGCTGTGAGACTTAAGAGATGGAGAGAAAGGCAGGTACATAGACCCTGAGAAGAGGACGAGATGGGTGTGGTGAGGGAGAGAGAAAGGAGATGAGGTCAGAGAGGAAGATGGACTAGATCACAGAGCACCCAATAACAATCCCAGCCTTACATGCTGTGTGCATCTGGTGAAAGGAGGCATACATCCAGCACAGGATCTGGCATGCAGTGGGCGCTCAATACACAGTAACTATGATTTAGGAGCCTTCCTGCCCTCCTCCTAGGGACCCTCACGCCCCTCCCTTGCCTCTTTACCCCTCTCTGCCCCACCATCCCTCCCTGGTCCCAGGAAGACGACAAGGACATTGGAAAGTTTCGCAGCACGAAGGAGGAAGCGTTCTCCATCCTCCCCTCCTCTTCCCCTTCCTCCTCCAAACCCTCCCACCACACACAGCCCAGTGATTTTCCTGCCTCTAACGAGGCAATTTTATTAAACATCTCGAAAAAATATTCTCTCACTCCCTCTCTCTTTATTTATAAAAATCAACTTAACACCCTGCTCCTTTGTTCTATTTGGAAACTGGAACAGCCTGGTTTATATTTAGCCGAAATCCTGCTCTTTTCCCCACATATTCCAGCACAGCCCGATGAGTTAGAGGGGCTCAGGAAGAAAGAGGGGAGAGGGCGCTGAGGGAAGGAAGGGTGCTGCGAAAGTGATGCCCCGAGGCCTCGGTCTAGGCTGAATTGGAAGGACCCAGAGGGTAGGAGCTGAGGACTCCTTTCCACTTGGAGTGTCCCCACAGTCAACGCTTTGCCCATCATTCTGTCACTCCTTAGTTCTGTCCACATATCCCCAGAAGAAGAAAGACAGGGGAGGCAGAATACAGAGAAGAAAGACCCCAACCCTCATCTGGAACCAGACTTGGAAAGGCAGTGTATGGCGGTCATTAAGGGTGTGGGTCTGCATTCAAATTCTCCTCTGCCCCTCAAGAGCTTGCTGCCCTGGGGGAACTTAATGTGCTCATTACAGTTACATAGTATGTGCTTAATAAATGGGGACTACTGTTATTAATCACTGTGGGCTGAAGGAAGCCACTCAACTCCTCAAACTCTAAGGCTCCACTTAAAAGCTGCTTCCTCCATGAAGCCTTCCCAGATTAAAACTCATCTAGTCAGCTAAGAGCACTGGGCTAGACACTAAGGGCCATGGAGACGAATGAGCAGGAACACGCAAGGCCCCCAGTGTGGTCAGAGATGGACATACATAATTGCCTGAGAGAATGCTAAGGTCCAGAAGAAACTTAAGCTCCACTTGGGCAAGGCCAGTTCTCCTTTTTCTCAGCTGTATCTGTAGAACTAAAGACAGCACCTGGTACATGGAGACAGCATAGAATAGTGGTTAAGAATATATCAGGGCTCGGGCGGCCGGTTAGCTCAAGTGGTTGGAGTACAGGCTCACAGCACCAAGGTTGCCGGTTCGATTCCCACATGGGCCACAGAGCTGCGCCCTCCACAATTTGACTGAAAACAACTACTTGACTTGGAGCTGATGGGTCCTGGAAAAATACACTGTTCCCCAATAAAAAAAAAATATTAAAAAAAGGAAATACTGAGGTAAAGAAATTATGGTATGTCCATACAATGGAATATTATTCAGCCATAAAATGGAATGAAGTACTGACACATACTACAATGCGAATCAACCTGAAAAATGTTACGCTAAGTGAAAGGAGCCAGATATGAAAGGTTGCATAGTGTATGATTCCATTCATACGAAGTGGCCAGAGTAGGCAAATCCATAGAGACAGAACACAAAATGACGGTTGCCAAGGGCTGTGAGAAGGGGGAAATGGGCAAGAACTGCTTAATGGAAGCAGGGTTTTCTTTTGGGGTGATAAAGATGTTTGGGAACTGGACAGAGGTTGTGGTTGTGCAATGCCACTGAATTGTTCACTTTAAAATGAGTTAATTATATGTTATGTGACTCTCACCTCAATTTTTTTTAAGAAAAGACTATATCTGGGTTCACTTCATGGTAATGTCAATTGATGTGCAAAAACATTTGATAAAATGAACATCTATTCAGTATTTTAAAATAAAAACAAACAAAGTTGGGCAGTGTGAGACTAGAAGGGAACTTCCTCAACATAAAATGTCACTTCTCCCCTATTGATCTATAGATTCAACACAGTATTACTCAAAGTTCCAGGAGGGTTTTTTTATTGTTGTTGTAGCAACTATCAACTAGATTCTAAAATGTATGTGGAAATGCAAACAAACTAAAATAGCCAAAGCAATTTTGAAAAAATAGGGACAAAGCTGCAGCACTTAATCCTACTTGATGTCAAGAATTACTATAAAGCTGCAGTAATCAAGACAGTGTGGTATTAGCTAAGGATAGACATACAGATCAATGAAACAGAATAAAGTCCAAAAATAGATCCACATAATACAATCAATTGATTTTTGACAAAGGTGCCAAGACAGTTCAGTGGAGGGAGGAAGCTGGAGCTGGGACATATTGGGACAAAGGAAAAAATGAACTGTGACCCTCTACCTCACACTATACCCAAAAACTAATTCAAAATTGATCAGAGACCTGAACATAAAAACTTAAGCTATAAAATTTCTAGAAGAAAACCTAAGAGAAAACCTTTGTGGCCTAGGGGTAGGCAAAGATTTCTTAGGACATAAAAAAGCATGAACAATCAAAACAATTGATAAGGAGGACTTCAGCAAAATTTTAAATTTACAGTTCTTCAAAAGATGCTATTAAAAAAATGAAACTGGGGCCGGCCGAGTGGTTAAGAGCTGGCTTGGGATGCCAGGGGGCCCCAGTTCGGATCCCACATATGAGGGCCAGTGACACTGCCCTCTACAGCTAAGATGCTGAACAACAGCTCAACCTGGAGCTGGGCT